ATTTCCGGCGGAGGGGACGTGTGCAAAGATGAACATATTGGAACCACTTTTTCCGCATCGCCTCTATAGTGTGGCAAACAAAGGCATGCCGATTAGGGGTGACCCGCAAGGACGTCAGGGGAAGCTGTTTGTTCGGATACATATTGTTTACCCTCGTGCGTTGAACGTTTCTCAGTTGACGCTGTTGGAAGAGGCATTCCGGTACCGCCTCCCTGACATGACGGAACCTCCTCAGGGAAAATCCGTTTGCTTGAATTACTACTCGGGGAACTCGGCCCCCTCACAAAAGGCCTCATCAAAGTGGGAGAAAGAGGAACAGCAGGGGACCAAGAGAAATTCAAATTCACGGTTATCTACAAGTAGTAGCACATGTCAATTGCAATGATGCGGGACGATGTGTTGAGGATTTGAGTGTCTACGTGAAGTGGGTGATTAACGGAGGAAGAGTGAGGGAGAGATACTCTTTTTCCTTTTTTCTCTCTCTCTTGCTTTCTTTCTCTTTTGTTGTACGTGGATGTGTATTGTGCGTCGCTTTCTTGCATGCTTTTTCTTGTCTTATTTTTTTGGTTCTTTTTCCTCACCGGAGCTTGTGGGTCGCAGTGGGGGACCTGCGGCCATCCCCCATTACGCTCGTGTGTGTGTGTGTGTAGAGTTTTGTCCTCGCTGAACTATCATTGCCTTCGTGCATGTTTCTCATGGTGTTGTTTTTGGCATGTGGTACGTTGTTGTTAGGAGGCGGGCCGCGGCTCCAGTAAAGGGACGGTCGGTGCGAAAAAATTAAGAAGTTACCACAATAAGGAGGTGGACAACAGGGAGAAAGAGAGCGAGAGAGAAGCGTACACACACACGCACACACAAAAAAATTGCTCTTTTCTTCCCTGACTCTTTTCATCCCCTCCCGTCTTGGGAAAAGTTGCAGCGATGATTCCAGGGCTTCCTCCGGCGTTTGATGTGGAATGCAACCGCATGGAAGATGTGTTTGCGTCGGTAAAAAGCCGCACCGTCGGGAAGGATGGCAATCTGCTTTCGCCGGAAGAATCGTGGGTGCAGCGGGAGTTGCAGTACTATGAGAATCTGTACACGGAACAGCAGGAACTTACGGTGTGTCTTGTCACGTTCAACGTTGCGTGCAAGAAGCCACCTGCAAATTTGGCCGCCCTCATTTCGCTTAAAATGGCGGAGGACACAAACAGGCCCGTGGACCTCATAATGGTCAGCCTTCAGGAAGTTGACATGAGCGCCTCTGCCATGTTAAAGGAGGAAACGGAAGCATCTACACCATGGGTCGTGGGACTCCACGCCGCTGTGGGCGCAGACTCTCGGTCACCAAGCAACACCCCATATTTTGCCTTTCCACCCAAGCAACTTGTTGGCCTCTTATTATGTGTCTACCTACGACGCCAACTTCTTCCCTACATGCAGGAGATGTCTGTTGCGACTGTTGCGACAGGAGCGCTGGGTAGCATGGGAAATAAAGGTGCTATTGGTCTTCGTCTTGTGCTACACCGCACCAGCCTGTGCCTTATAAATGTTCACTTAGCTGCTGGTCAGAGTAATGTGGTGAAAACGTAATGCAGATGCAAGTAGCATATTTACCGGTATGGATTTTAATGTGCAAAAACGACAGGCGTTAGTTGCTTCCGTAGAGGACGGGTATATCATATCCGAATACATGGACCAAAATCCAGAATTGCGCCCTCATGACCACGATATCATTATTGTATCAGGGGATCTCAACTACAGGACGAAGTTGAATTACGAAGAAGCTTTAGAACTTGCGACGCGATGTGATACAGAACGTCTACTGAAGCACGATGAACTTGTATCAGAGTTAGCGAATTCACACTCACCATGGTGGGGTTTTGTGGATCTTACACCAACTTTTCCTCCAACGTATCGCTATGACATTGGAACAAACATATACGACACGAGTGAAAAGCAACGTGTCCCAAGTTACACCGACCGTATCGTCACTTGGACAAAACGAAAATCTCATCAAAAGTTAATTATTGTGGAACGCCTGCAAGCAATTGTGGACATCTTTAGTAGTGACCACAAACCAGTTCAGGCGCTCCTTCGTCTTCCCATACTATGCGAGGTGGAGGAGAAGAAAAAGAATGTCACACAATTGCTGAACGACCGCATTGCGCAGGTGGGTCTGGACCGATCTACGAGCGCGAAAACGACGATTAGTCCCTCCCTGTTGGACTTTGGGGAGCAGAGGTTTTACGAATGCGGTGCCCGGAGGGTGTTGAGCCTCACTAATGTAGGGGAATGTGTAGCCCTTGTGAAGGTGTTCCGTCAACGTAACAATGACATCAGTGAAGGGGCATGGCTACGGGTGTATCCAAGCAATTTCTCAATTCTCCCTGGGGAGAAAAAGGAGGTGACGGTGGAGTGTCAACTGCACCCGCGCTGCATGCGGTGGATGGGCTCCTGGCGTCCATTTGAAGGCCGCGGCCGGCTGAGTCTTTCATCCATGTTGTTGGTGTTTGTCAATCAGGGATCCGTTCATTTAGTGGAGTGTATATGCACATTTAATCCGAGTGTATTTGGGAATTCCTTGGAGAATATCTCACTTCTTGGAAATGAGGCCTGTCTCACCGCGTATGGGATTAAAGGGGATCTGGAGAAGCTGCGAAAGGTGGTTCGACCGCAGTTGCCGAAGGAGCTGTGGTTTCTTTGTGAAGCCATTTACGCGCGTGGTGCACGGCAGCCAAATCTTTTCACGGAGAATGGATCCGCTGAAGCCTGCACGGAAGTCATGCGGCACCTTGACACATGCTGTGAGCCAATTCCGGCTGAGTTTGATATTCAGTCCGTTGCTACATGTTTTATTACCTTTCTTCAGTCGTTGCAGGAACCTGTGGTACCGTTTTCGTTGTACGGGGCCGCTATTGCCGCCGGGAAGGCAGGAGGCAGAGCGCCCCTTGTTTTTGTTCAACAGCAACTTCCACCTCAACATGCCAATGTGTGGATTTATGTGTGTGCTTTGCTTAATTTTTTGTTGCGGCCTGTGAATGCACGCAGCAATGAGCTTACACCAAGAATTTTGGCAAAGCTCTTTAGCGAGGTGATGCTTGTGCGTCCAGGTGTCCTGATCCATGACTCCTCCGGGCACAGAGAGGGCTCTTATAATGGCATTGCTGCGCCCCCACAGGGCGTACTAACATCGCAGCCGCTTCGTCTGCAGCTGCAGCAGGAGAAGGAGGATGCGATGAGTCTCATTGAGTATTTTCTCATGCCGCCCCCCGAGTCCCTACGGTGAAACAACTGAAGCCATTTGGCGTTGAGGAGGGGGGGGGGAGCAGTAAAGAGGAGGGGGATGGTTATACAGAAGAGATAAACCGAAGAGGAGAAGATGTTGTTGTCGTCGTTGTTGTTTTCTTTTGTGTGTTTGTCAGTTTTTCCCTCTCTTCTCTGTATGTTTGTAACTGTTTTGTTGTTGTTATATTGTTATCATGAGAAACGCTTTCCAGTCGCTCTTTTTCCGCATATTATCTTGACTGTGGCTTTTACTCATGACACATGAGTTTGGAGGGAGAGCACGGATTTGTGAAGAGTGAGAGGAAGAGAGTGCCGGTTGGAGTTGAGTCCGGCATCTGGCATGTCGTTGAACGTCTTTCTTTGGGTCTCACACTTCATTCCCGCGTAACGCAACGGTGCACGGGGTTATATATACATATAATTATTTTTTTTTCTTATTTTTTCTGACTCTCTTCACAACAATTCTTTGCCAAATTCACAGCTCGAAGTCTCTTTACGCCACCTCAGTCATGTCCATGAAGTACCTCGCCGCATACGCTCTTGCTTCGCTGAACAAACCAACGCCAGGCGCCGCCGATGTGGAGGCCATCTGCAAGGCCTGCGGTATCGAAGTTGAGAGCGACGCACTCTCGTTTGTCATGGAATCCATTGCCGGCCGGAGCGTTGCCACTCTCGTGGCGGAGGGCGCGGCGAAGATGAGCGCTGTTGCCGTCTCCGCTGCTCCTGCTGCCGGTGGTGCAGCCGCTCCTGCTGCTGCTGCTGGCGGTGCCGCCGCCCCTGCCGCCGCTGACGCCAAGAAGGAAGAAGAGGAGGAGGACGATGACATGGGCTTTGGTCTGTTTGACTAAGTGCAGCGGCATGCAACGTGCCGGAGCAGCAAGGGACTGCATCACTGCGCACTTGAACAAGGAAAAACATACTGGCCGCCGTATTTGGGGTGTGCATGACTGGAAGGCATCTTGCAGTTCGACAACTTTTTTTTGATTCTGTTTTTTCTATTTATGAATGAATTAATTTTCTTTTTTTTTTCTCCTTATTTTTGCCCTCCCTCCCTGAGGCATTTGTCAGCGGAGTGGGTGGGGCTGGGAGGCAATTCTGTGCGGTTGTCCCCCTTTCATTGGATTAGGATGGGGGGACACCTGTTGCAGGAGCTGCCGCCATCGTGTAGTTTTATGCATTGATAAATTATTTGTTCAATGAAACACTTGGCTTTTTTTGTGGCTTCTTTCCTCCCCTCTTCCTTATTGTTACGTGCATGAGGGGGACATATATGTATATACTTATATCCTTATACATATATATATATATATATATATACATAATCACACAGAGAAATACTCCAACAGAGATTCATTTACAGAGAGAGACATCCCCTTTTTATTTCATTATTTCCAAAACGACAAGTGTTCCCGTTAAAACGCACTTGACAGGTGATGTGGCGTTCCTCAGTCCACCCTTTAGTGGAGACGTTTGGAGCGACAGAAATATCGTTGTTGGAGTTTGATGTTATTGGCTCAACGCCGCAGCGTAGCGTGGAGAATCTGCGAGGGCATATCAGATCTCTGGTTGACTCCGTCGAAAAGGAGGCCACGCTCGTAACCGTCATTCAACTTCTTGAGTCGGAGCGGCAGGGGCTCTCGGAGCCCTCCACAACCACCGTGGACACGCGTGGGGGGGACAACAACAATTTGTCGCCTGCCTCGTCTCTGATGGCGAAGCTCTCGTTCAACTACGAGTCACACCCTTCTGGCGGCGAAGCCCCACCCACCCCTCACAACAGCAACTGGAATTCTGTCAGCACGGCAGATCGAGAATTACCGTCTCAGCAAGAGCGGACGCGGGAGTTCGTGGAGACTGGAGATGCAGCGCACGTGGCGGAACGCGCGGAGGCGAAGAGAGTAAATGAAGACGAGATGGAGAGAGCTGCCGAGCTGGATGGATGCCCTCAGCCGCCGCCGCCCCTAATTGCCAGCAGAGGGGAGCCATTGGTGAGTTACGGGAGACGCGCCGCGGTGTCAGCAGAGTCTTTGCCGCTGAACGTGATAAGAAGCTACAGCCCGCCGGTGGTAGCAAAATCTCCTGAAGAGGAGCGAATCGTCCGGGCCGGTGTCATGGCGTGCCACCTGTTTAGCAACATGGATAACAAGGATCAGTCCATTATTGTTCAGGCGTTAAAACGGGTCACCTTTCCTGCGGGGACGGATATCCTGAGACAGGATGGGGCTTCTGTAGAAAAATTGTTTCTCCTTACACAAGGATCCTGTGATGTCATCAAAAATGGCAAAAGGGTACATACATTACTGGAGTGTAGTACATTTGGAGAGATGGAAATGATGTACAATCTTCCGACGTGTGTGGCGACTATTCGAAGTGTGACAAACTGTGTTCTCTACACATTGGATCAGTATACATACCAGAATATTGTACTTGCTGCTTCTTTGCATAAGCGGGAGAAGTACGAAGCGTTGCTGTCCAATGTGCAATTTCTCCGTGAATTTTCCGATTATGACCGCATGCAAATCGCCGAGGCACTTGTGACAAAAACGTACCGTCAGGGTGATTACATCATACGGTTCGGGGAAACGGGTAAGTGGATGCACATTATTGTGGAAGGTGAGGTGGCGGTGGTTGGTCGACATATCGGCAAGAAGTGTGAGATTCTTCGGCTGAAAGAAGGCGAAGTTGTGGGGGAATTAGAGTTTCTCTTTAATGATCTCACTGTGGCAGATGTCATTGCAACCTCGCGGCGCGTCACGACGGCACAAATTAAACGAAAGCACTTTGAGTTGATTACAGGACCCATTCAGGATAAACTGAAGGAGTATATTGTGAACAGCGGAAGGTACACACACTACCTTGGGGGGGCGAAGGATCGCATTAAGTCCGAGTTAAGTCTACTGGGGAAACGCTCCAAGCGTATGGCAACGAATGCAGAACGGGAGAATGCGTTTTTGCATCAAGTGGATGTGAATGGAGAGATTATTTTACCCGTACCAAAGGAGAAAGTTTTTGCTGTCGAAAAGGGGATTGTTCTTGACAAGGAGAACAATGAGAGAGTAAATGTGAAGGATGCCGTCAGTGGTCCGGATGTGGAATCTTCATCGGCGCATGTATTGTTTCGCTTTCCATTGATGCCTATACACAAAAACTCTCTTGCAATAATTGCCCTTTGTGAAGATGGCTCCATCCTCCTTTGGAACGAGCGCATGGTGCGCCTCACAGGCTACACTGCAGAAGAAGCCATTGGCCAACATATATGCTCCTTCTTACTAGAAACCAAGGATCAAAAGACGATGCATCAAGCCATCTGTGACGCTCGACATTACACAGGCGATACGGAAGGTTTTTTTGATGCGAAGGGCGGTGTTTATCGTCGGGCCTACACCTTTGCCCGAATGGATGGTTTAACCAAAGTGCAACTCAAACTTAGCGTCCTCCCCTCCATCGTCTCACATGGCAAGGATGCAGCGGAAATCGTGTTGGCTGTTGGTGAAGAAACACATGCTGAGTCCCAGCAGTTACTTGATAAGTCCCAGCTTTTGATGGATCAAATCAGTTCTGTCTTAAGTGACGGAGAGTGCAACTATGAAGATCGCCTGCATCGAATTGCCACGGTGTTGAATGGATTTGAGTTAACTTGTCGTGCCATGTTGGCCTCTACGGAGCATGTTCGTGTGGTGAATATCCGACAGATGATTGGGCAGGTGATGATGGATTACGGCGCCCAGTGCGTCTCCAGCGGTGTGGCCGTTCGTCAGCGCTTTGAGGGACTTTACGCGGAAAACGCATATCTCAATGCAAAGCTGTTGCCGGAGTGTCTGCGGTATGCGATGAGTAACTGCACCCAACACCTGGATGATGTGCAGGTGACAATCACAGTCAAGATTACCGAAAATAACGGCATGGATTTTTTGGAGATTGAGTTTCACGACAACGGCCCCGGATTTCCTGTGGATCTTCTGGACGAAATCCATGAAGGACGTTTTTCTGAGAAGTATGCACAAGTGCCCCGTGTGCGTGCGGCCATGGAGCGGCAGGGAGGAAGTATGATTATAGAGTCTGTGCCTGGCAACACGAATGTGAGATTTATCGTCCCTTTTGTTCCCGTAAAGGAGAGATTAAATGACATGCTGGAGCACCGCGTAAAGGAGTTTGACAACTCCATGAGTCTGAGCTGTGTGGGCAGTGTTACTCAAGCGAG